TTGATAACATTCTGCCTAATCAACCAGAAAGTTGAACTATGAATCTCCAGGGCCATCAATGTGATTACATGCATATGTGACAATGTCTAAATAGACTGACCAAAATTGACTTAATTATAAATTAATTCACGAGACATCAATCCTTGTTTAGGTGTAAAAACAAATGCAATTTATTTCATTATTTAATGGATAAACTCAAAGCTGTGGTATATTAATGTACAATTTTTATGTTAAAACTCGGTCAAGAAGACTTTCCGCCTCCATATTACTCATAAGTAATACATGAAATGTTTTCATTTGTGTGTTTTAGATCCTTTCAATGTTTCAATGTGTTTGATGACATTTTGCTTATTTAACCAGAAGGTTAAGCTATGAATCTTCGGAGTCATCAATGTGATTGCAGCATGTGTGACAATATCCAAATAGACTGACCAACATTGGCTTAATTATAAATTAATTCACGAGACATCTTTCCTCGTTCCAGTGTTAAAGCAAGATGCAATTTATTTAATCATTTAATGGATAAACTTAAAGCTGGAGCACATTCATGTACAAGTTTCATGTTAAAACTCGGTCAAGAAGACTTTCCGCCTCCATATTACTCATAAGTAATACACGAAATGTTTTAATTTGTATGCTTTAGATCCTTTTAATGATTCAATGTGTATGATGACACTCTGCCTAATCAACCAGAAAGTTGAACTATGAATCTCCAGGGCCATCAATGTGATTGCATGCATATGTGAAAATGTCTAAATAGACTGACCAACATTGGCTTAATTATAAATTAATTCACGAGACATCAATCCTTATTTAGGTGTGAAAACAAATGCAATTTATTTCATTATTTAATGGATAAACACAAAGCTGTGGTACATTAATGTACAATTTTTATGTTAAAACTCGGTCAAGAAGACTTTCCCCCTCCATATTACTCATAAGTAATACACGAAATGTTTTCATTTGTATGTTTTAGCTCCTTTCAATGTTTCAATGTGTTTGATGACATTTTGCTTATTTAACCAGAAGATTAACTATGAATCTCTGGGGTCATCAATGTGATTGCATGCATGTGTGACAATATCCAAATAGACTGACCAACATTGGCTTAATTATAAATTAATTCACGAGACATCTTCCCTCATTTCGGGTAGAAAAGAGATGCAATTTATTTTATCATTTAATATATATACTCAAAGCTAGGGCACAATCATGTACAAGTTTCATGTTAAAAATTGGTCAAGAAGACTTTTCGACTCCATATTACTCATAAGTAATACACGAAATGTTTTCTTTGGTATGTTTTAGATCCTTTCAATGTTTTAATGTGTTTGATGACATTTTTCTTATTTAACCGGAAAGTTAAACTATGAATCTCCGAGGCCATAAATGTGATTGAATGCATATGTGACAATGTTCAAATAGACTGACCGAAATTGTCTTAATTATAAACTAATTAATTATACACAAGTCATTAGTTGTGATTGAAAGAGAGTGAGATATGAGACTAGAAATTTGGTTCCATACTCGGCAAGAATGAGTGACAATTCGGTAAAGCGTCTAGTACCAACTCTGTTTACAGCAGCATATGATTTCGGTCGATCAATTCACAAAAATATGGTCACATCTGCACTGCAAGTGAAGGTTTCTTTTCTAAATTTATCTAAACGTGGTACCACACTTTTTTTAAATATCATTTTATTTGCATCTTTTTATATGCTCGAAGTTAGTTGACCGCAGAAACGAGGTTGAATCACAAAAGACTTGTATAAATGTTAATGATGTGTGTATTTGTGAAAATGTCATCATTTTCTCTCTTTTCCTGATGTGTGTGTGTGTGTGTGTTTTTATTGTGTGCATACATGTGACCTGATTCTGGTAGATGGCACGAATGTGCTGCATTAAAAGTTGTCTTTATGCAAACTAGGCATTGTGTGTCATGTGTGATGCCATCTATGTGTTGGATTTTTTTTCCGTTTCAACTAATAATAAGATAATTTGTATGATAATAAAATGCATACCATTTTATGATAAATCTTCATATGAGTCTATCAGAACTATTCACCTTGACACTGTTTTCTTTTTCACTTTCAGACGGTTGCTACGACAATTCGAAAGGTCACGTCTCCACATCCACTTCCACCACCACCGACATGTTGTCCTCCAGTCTGTTCGGCATGTTCACAAACTTCAACCACTCGACCGACATTCAAGTACAGTTGGGTCCAACGCATCTTCCGCAACTTTTCACACTTTCTCTTCAACCGTGTCCGTCGGATTGTCAACTGAAAGACAGTCGTGTTGATGCTATTTCG